CCTCCCACAGCACACGCCTTCTGGAGCCAGCGCAACCGTCTGCCTGCCGATGAGGTCGAGCACGGGGCCGAGGTCGCCGCCGAGCCCGAAGCAGTAGATGCCACCGACGCAGTAGTGGCCGTACCGCAAGCACATGTGGCGTCGTCTGCCGCGCCTCCAGCAAGACTCGCACCGCGGGAAGCCGTGCTAAGGTCTTGGCAGAGCCAACCTGCAGCAGGTGCCGTCCGCGGGGTCATTGCCTTCGCAGGCGCGGTGAGTGAGCGCCCATCGTATGAACCCGAAGCACATGTGGCGTCGTCTGCCGAGCCTCCAGCAAGACTCGCGCCGCGGGAATCCGTGCTGAGGTCTTGGCAGGGCCAACCTGCAGCAGGTGCCGTCCGCGGGGTCATTGCCTTCGCAGGCACGGTGGGTGAGCGCCCGTCGTGTGAAACCGACGAGGACGTAGTAGCACCAAGAGAGGTCGTCAAAAGCGGAAGAGAAATGGGGCCGCCTGCCGTCGAAGTGGACGGTACAGAAGAGAGTGAGCATGAAGAGGCCGATCTTGAGAGCACACCGCCAGGAGAGCTGCAGGTAGAACAGCTGTCACACGCTTGACCATCTCCAGCAGAGCTAGGAGCCAGACTCACGAGCCTCCACCTTGGCCCGAGCAGCAGCAGCCTTGGCCCGTGCGAGAGTGTCAGCGCGCACCTTCTCGATCCTCTTCCCCTTCTCGGTCGGCTCGGCAGGGGCCTCAGCAGCCACAGGAGCAGCCTTCGGCGCATCAGCCGCAGGCGCCTGAGGGGGAGCAGCGCTCTGGCTGTCAGCACCTTGGGAAGCCGCGACCCCTGTTGCAACCGCCCCATCAGGAGTCTTGCGCTTCTTACGCAGCTCACCCATCCGCTTCTGGTATTCCTCCTGGTGCGTCTTAAACTGGGTCTTAATACTCGTGAGCGCACCGTGCAGGAGGGTCTTGACCGGCTGGGGCTGCTCAAGCTTGAACTTCTCAAATCCCTCGCGGTCCTCGGCCGAGAAAGCTGGCCCCGAAATGTCCAGCTCTTCACCAAAGTCGAGCTTGATATCATCAGCGGAGTCCTTGAAGAGGGCGTCGAGGGAAATGACGTTCTTGCTGGAAATGGGCTCAGCAGGCTTGAGAACTCCGACGGCAAGCTTACGAGTGGCCTGCTCAAGAATGTCAACGTTCTCCAGATCCCTCGCCATGAGCTCGTCGAGGTGCTTGTCCAGGTCGCTGACCTCCTTGTCCAGCGCCGCGCGGCGCGCCAGGGCCTTGTCGAGCTTCTCCTTGGACGCCTTCTTGGCCTGGGAAGCACCTTGCCACTCAGCCTGAGGTGTCGCCTGGGGCTGGGGCGGAGGCTTGGGCACGAACTGCGCGAGCAACTTCTGGGCAAGGTCGGGCGCAAAGTGCGAAGCAGCCTCCTTGACCGCCGCGAGAGCTTGAGGAGGGATGGCTTCGGAGGGGCCCTGCTGCACCTGCAGCGCCTGAGTACCCTTGCGCCAGCGACCCTTGGACTTGCTGCCGCCTTCACCCCATCCAGACTCCTCACCACCGGTGTACAGAAGCACCTGGCCGCCGCCGCCGACAGAGGAGCTGGGCGGGTAGCACTGGGACTAGCACCCGACGCAGAGATTGCGCCTCTTGGCCAGGAGGTCATTCCAAGTCCAGTGGCCACAAGCGCACACAGTGTACAGCCGAACACCACGATTCTGCCCAGCCTTGGCGCCCCCAGGCGGAACTCGGATCCAGGGTTGCCTCGTCCAGGTTTCCTCCGCTTCATCGGGGATACGCCACGGGGCGGGGGCCATCGCAGCGCCGTAGGAACTAGCTCCGTCAGGAGCACACGAAAGGTGGGCTGCCAGAAGCCCGTGCAGTACTGGCAAAAGCTGTCAGGCACAAGGCCTTGGCACTGCTGCGGACTAGCAGCTTCCAGTTTGGCACGAGGGCGCGGAGCCCTCAGGTGCAGCATTCTTGAGCCAAAATGGCTACAGAGGGAGGAGGAGGAGGAGGAGGAGGAGGAGGAGGAGGAGGAGGAGGAGGAGGAGGAGGAGGAGGAGGAGGAGGAGGAGGAGGAGGAGGAGGAGGAGGAGGAGGAGGAGGAGGAGGAGGAGGAGGAGGAGGAGGAGGGGGAGGAGGAGGAGGAGGAGGAGGAGGAGGAGGAGGAGGAGGCGAAGGAGGAGGAGGAGGAGGAGGGGGGGGATGGAGGAAAAGGAGGGAGGATAAGGAGGAGGGCCTCTGGTCTTCAATGTGGACGCAGGTTGGTCCCAGGAAAAAGAGAAAGGGGGGCAGCAACAGGTGAATCCGAGGGGGGCACGGAAACAAAAGGCCTCAAGATGCATCAAACATGAATGGTGCGGCAATGCCACTCCCTCTCGAACCCGATCTGCAGAAGTCACTCTACGTATTCCTTCTCACTACGGAAAGAGACTCCGTGAACGCCAAGCGACCGATGAGCTGGATATCCATGCGAGATCCCCGTTGCGAAAATGACGTCTCTCCTTGAGAGATCCATGCGACATCCCCCATGCGATACATCCATGCGGAATACATAAGAGATCTCCGTTGTCCAATGCACAAGACTTGCAAAACAATGCGATACCAAGAAATCCAACAAACTGTTGAAATCTGAGGTGGTCTAAGGCGCTTCCTATTCCAACCCTCTCGTTCCCCTTTCGGGAAAGGTTTACGCCTCACCCCCCGCTCCCACAGCGCTAATGACATAGACGGGGAGAGAGAGAGAGAGAGAGAGACACGAGAAGGAATGCGCAAAGCAAGTGCCTGCCAGCACGGCAGCCCAACACGGCATAATTACCAGCCTGGCAGACCAGTACGGAAAACCCGAACGGCAAACCAGCATGGCAACATGGAGGTGTCCGGGGCCCTCCTGTGGTCCTCTTGGGCACGTCGCGGGGGCGTCTTGGGGCCCTCGGAGGCCGTCTTGGGTGGACCTTCTTCGCACTTTCGAAACATTGAACTGCTTGAGGCCTTCTTGGGGCCCGCTTGAGCCCGTCTTGGGGTGCATCTTGGAGGCCTCGGAGGCCTCTTGGGCACCTCCTGAGCCCGTCTTAAGCCTAAGCCATCTGGGAGCCATTTGGATATCCTCCTGGGCCTGTCTTGGGGGCGTCTTGGGGGCCTCGGAGGCCGTCTTTAGGCAGATTTTGCCGAAGACGTTTGCATGTAGATGGCGCCGTTTCCGCCTTTTCGTGAACTCTCCCAATGGTGGAGCCTGGCCGATTCCCGCCACCGCGAGGGACGGAGAGACGGAAGGAGGGGGAGAAAATCTACTCCACAGGCCTCCGCCCGCGTTCCCGGAGTCCTCCACCCCCCTCCCACAGGACCAGCCCTGCAGCCTGCATCAACCCAGACAGCGTGGAGGAGCGGCTACACATGACGGCGACAGCGACGACGACGACGACGACGACGACGACGACGACGACGACGACGGCGGCGAAGGCGACGCCGACAACGACGGCGAAGGCGACGATGATGATCACAGCGAGGAGGACGACGACGACGAAGACGACTACGACGACGGCGGCGATGATGACGACGGCGGCGAAGGCGACGATGACGACGACGGCCAGGACGACGACGAAGACGACGACGACGATGACGACGACGACGACGACGGATGGCGTCCCCCTTTTAAGAGGCCCCCAAGTCTCCATGCAGAGGTTCTCGAAGGTCCCGGGAGGCCTCCCCTCAGCCGCCGACAACCCCCGGCGGGCGAGAAGCTGCTCCTGCAGACCTTGGCGCACCCCCCTCGCCTCTCCTCCGGCGTTGCATATGAGCCTGCTGTTTTGGACTCGGGCACGTTTACTTGCATGGCGTCCGCCCGGCCCCTCCCCCCCCCTCGCCCCTCTTCGCGCGAACACTGGCGCGCAGGTGCCGTTCGACTTGCGTGACTGCCGCACGTGCAAGTCGTTTGCGGCTTGCTTCAGGTTCAGCCGCCCCACCCCGTCCATGCAAGTAAAATTGCCAGAGTTTTGAAAAAAAAGCTCTATGCTCCTTGACGCGAGCCCCCAGGGCTGCGCCCCCCCGCCCCCCGAGTCCCTTGGCGAGCTCTTCGTTATCATTTCGCGGTCGGACGACCTGCCAGATAGGCTGGAAACAAAAACACAAACGCGTAGCAAAGTGTTTGTGGCGCCCGATCTTCGTGTTCGGGGAAAACAATCCCCTGAGGCTGCTCTGAACATGGACCCATCCTGGACCACGATTGCGCACGAGGCCCAAAAACGGTTAAGAGCGCCGAAGAGATCCCGATCCTCAAACCGCAGTTTTGGACGCCCGAAATGGGTGCGGGGAGAATGGGTACGATGCCCAACAAAAAAAAACCGTGCAAAACCGACAGCGGCCGCTGTTGGGCAGGCGGCCTCCTGTCTCAAGTTGACGACGCCCACGGCGGCGCGGACAGCGAGCCCTGCTCTGAAGGGAACAACAACAACGGATGCTGGGCACCGCTTCCGTTCTTTCCGTAACCGTTTCGCTCATGCCGAACAGCTCTCCAGCCACGCCCCGGGAGCGGCCAAGGGGGGGGATCCAAGAGGGGGGGGTGCAAATCATGGCCGGCGGCATGTGCGCGGCCCAGGGGGGGGGGGCGGAGACATAATGACACAAGAAGAGGCGCCATGAGATCTGGCATAATATCATGGCCCACGCCATGATATCCCCCCCCCTTAGTCATCACCCCCCTCTTTGCCGCTCCCGATCTTTGAGAGGCCAGGAGCCCCAGCTCCCGCATGTCCTCGGCCCCGTCGCACGACTCGTTGGCCCGGCGCGCGGCTCTGCCCGAGGTTCGAGGGTCCCAGGACGAGCTCGCAGGCCCTCTTGAGACCCTTTCGCGAAGAGGGTCTCCAGGAAGCCTTAAGTCGGGCGTGTCACCCTACAGGGCGATTTTAAATCAAAAACAATCAAAAAATGCCCCCCCGATGCTACAAGATAGCCAAACAATCGTCATCACCCCCCTCTATGCCGTCCCCGAACGCCCCTCGATCCCCTGCCCCACCGGTCAGGAGTTTGCCTGCGGCGACCGGGCCGCCTCGACCATCGCGCTGAAGTGCTCGGGCGCGATGCCCTGCGACTGCGCCTGCGGAGCCCGGGGCGGCGCGCGCGGGCGCTGCCGCGCCGACGATGGCCCACCGCGACCCGCGGCGCAGGCGACGACGACGGACGACCGACGGCGACAGCGACGGACGAGCGACGGCGGACGACGAGACCGCGGACGCGTCGGAAGGCGGACGGCGGCGGCGACGTCACAACAGGAGGAATACTTCGATATATACATAGATACACATATATACAGATGAACAACATCTGGGGAAGATCCTGGTCGTGCTCGTTTGAAGAATTTTGGGATACATGCATATATAGATATACATACATATACATACATGCATTTATACATACATATTCGTTTGTATACATACATACAGACATATAATAAACGAAACTTGTGGGCGAAACGACGGAACATATTTATAACAGACACTTCAAACATGCTCAAACATAACCATAATATCGTCCCCAAATATTTTTGACTATTTTGAAATATTCCGCTTGCAGAGGGACATGCACGACGTAAAGCTATCTTCGCACCCCCTTGGGCGACCAAGGCGAACGTGTGGCATATTCATGTATGCGCCCTGCCGCGGTCATGAAAGCACACCTCGACGCGCGAGGCCGCCCTCATGCCATGGGCCCTCGCGCAATGCGCTCTCTCGAAGCCCAGGTGAGTTTGCGCGTGCGTACTTGCTTCGCTCCTGAAGGCTGACCACATTGGGAGTCCGAGGCCCACAAAGTCCCATCGCCGCCGGGGCTGGCACCGGGGACTTCCTGCTGGGGCCTCGCCCACCCTCCCGGGCGCTCCTCCTGGGTAGACTTCCAGACCGTTGCTCCTCCCTGGGCGCGCTCGTGGAAGTCGTCCGCGCCGTCGTCAAAATCGTCAACCTCTTCTCGTCGTCGTCGCCGGCTCGGCCCGGCCGCCTGCCGCATCAGGGCGTCCACTGCCGCCTGGTTGCCGGAGGCGACGGCCATGTCCACGAGCACCTCGCCGAGCGCGCGCCCGGAGCGCGCGCGGCATCCTGCTTCCCTGCTCTCCGCGGGATCAGGAGCGGCCTCCTCCTCCTCCTCCTCCTTTTCCTCCTCCTCCCTCCTCCTCCTCCCTCCTCCTCCTCCTCCTCCTCGGAATCAGGAGCGGTCGGCCGACATCGGCAGTCCACGAGAACTGGGCGAGATCACAGAAACTACGTCGTACTGCGTGGCACACGGCTGGCATGGGGGAGCAATTCTGGACGGTCCCGGAAACGGACTCCGCCATGCCGTGGGATGTTTCGGTGTCAATTTACGGGAGCCTCCCATACCATCTTGTCGGCTCTTGCGAATCGACGCCACTCGGCGCTAAATCGACGCTACATCGACGCTGAATCGACGTCAGTCGACGCTGAATCAGCGCTGTCCCATCGACTCCCATACGCTAGTCGACGCCAGCCGGCGCTAAAACCATAATCACGAGAGTACAAGGCTCCCATTATCTGCGACCGAACTATGCCATCGGACAGGGCTCGACCTAAGCGTTGCTTTTCGCGTTGTGTTCGTTTTGTTTTTCGCTGTACTCTGCCTGTTCTCCTGTACCTTCCTTTCGGCGGTGGACAGACCTCCTTTTAGTAGACCTCCCCCTAGTGAAAACGGCCTGGGACCGAAACCGACGGACCTGCACCCGCAAGAATGACGGCCGCGACGCCCTCTCGCGAACGGAAAACGGCCAATTCCTTAATCGACGTGTCAGGGTAGGAGGCCTGTCCACCCCCGATCCTCTTCGAACGGAAGACAGCGTCGGGCGAGTGCCTCCCAGGGCCCGACGCGTGAACACCTTCGAGTTATGGCACTGTTTTCCTGGCGCTCGAAATTCTTCCTGGTGGTCAATGCGAAAGGTAGCTTGGAGCCTCATAGGCTATGAGGCTCCAAGCTACCAGCAAAACACACCTGGAGGAGGAGAAGGAGGAGGAGGAGGAGGAGGCGGAGGAGGAGGAGGAGGGCCAGGAAGAATCATAGCCCCACAGCCGAGGTCCAGCAAGACAGCTCTTAGGCTCGGCCCTGCGGTCCCCTCCGCCCTGCAGCCCACACCACGCGGGTCCGGCAGGTCCGCGCGGGCGCCCGCCCCCGACGGGGCCGACTTTTCCACCGCCACTGCCACAGGCAGGAGGGGGAGGAGGAGGAGGAGGAGGAGGAGGAGGAGGATGAGGAGGGAGGAGGAGGAGGAGGAGGAGAAGGAGGAGGAGGAGGAGGAGGAGGGGAGGAGTGGAGGGGAGTGGACGCCATGACGATGCCATATCCGAGGAGCAAAGCCCGCCGACCTTGAAGACGCACGAGACGACAAGGAAGACAGGGCGCGCGAACTGGCGGATTCACTTCCCGAAAATCGCGCGCCACCATTTGAGAAACCAGGGCCTCCCACTTGAATGGCGCGCGTACCGCTGCCACCGAAAAGCAGAGCACGTGACGCATCACATATCCACCATATGGAGTGTACTGACTGAGACTTGGAAAGCAGCCTTCACCTGATCGGATCCATGAATCGCCTCATGTTCCTCGGCCCCTTTCGGCGCGGGAGGTTGACCACCAGAACGCAATGCGCGTTGACAGGTGAAGGACAAACGTCAAGACAGGTGAACCAATGATACCGGAAAAAAACCCAATCAGAGCTAGAAGGCTAGGGGGCTAAAGGGCTACAGGGCTCTTGATCTACAGGGCTATAGAGCTATAGGGCTATAGAGATGTAGGGCTAGATAGCTATTGGGCTATAGGGCTTAAGGCTCTAGGGCTATAGGGCACGCCTGGGCACCCCCGGGCACGCCCTGGCACCCGGGCACCCGGGCACACCCGGGCACACCCCCTAGCCTACAGACCACCAGAAAAATAGAAATTAGACTCGCCGCTGTGGAATGTTTCGCACGGTTTACGCGTTTCTAAAAAAATAGACTTGGTATCGTTTTCGTGCTTATTTTTATAGAAATTCAGCTCCGGCCCCAACGTGGCTTTAATTCTCATGTCTATGTCGTGTCTATCCGTGTCTATATGCATTGGTGTCTATTCGTGTCTAACGTGTCTAATTTGAACGTGTCTATTCGTGTCTATTTGCCATGATTTCGACGTGTTCGCGTCTGTTACTTCCGTGTCTATTTTTCAAAGTGCGTGTCTATTTTTCCCAAGAATGCCGTTTGTTCGACACGATGTGGTGGCGCCCAATTTTGAATTTCCGAAGACGGTCCAAGATGGCCCCGAGTCGCCGAACGATCGGTCCAAGACGCCCAAGATGGCATCCAGACGGCCCAATGCGGCCTCCAAGACGCCCCAAGGCATGCGGCAGTACTCCAAATCAAATTATTTCACGTAAGTTTTGAAGGATTTGGGCGTTCTCGCTTCTTCGGCTTACGCTCCAAGACGGCCCATGAGGCCCCAAAGATCGCCCCAAGACGGCCCAAGAAGCCTCCGAGAGGGCCCCAAAACAGCCCAAGGGGGCCTCAAGACGCGTTTTTTCCCCTAACGATCCCGCAGTCTCCGCGCTCCCCCTAGATCTCTCGTGTGATTCCAAAGCGTTTCAATTTGTGATTCTCCTCAGCTCCCCCCAATTCGCCCGTTTATCATGCTCATTCTTTCTGCACTCCTTTCAACTCCGCTGAATTCCAATCCAATCCTGCAGCGTTATTCCACATTCTCCCGTCCCGACTCCCCCCCGTATGCCGTGTCTATTTTGTCACACCGTGTCTATTTGTTTCGGGCTCCTTTTGCGCGTATATTCGTCGCGTGACTACTCGTGTCTAATCATGTCTATTCGTGTCTATTTATGAGCCGTGTCTATTATCGTGACTATGTCAATGTATGACGTTCGTGTCTATTGTTGAATCACTTTCGTGTCTATGTTCAATGAATTCGTGTCTATTTCAGAGAAGTGTCTATTCGTGTCTATTTTTCGTATACAGAACCATATGTTTTACAGTGCGCGCAGCGCGAACTTATAGACACGACTAGAAATAGAAACTGTGCAACAGTATCACGGAAAACGGAAGCGAAAATAGACACCCCGTCTTGTAGGCTAGGGCCCGGGCACCCCCCGGGCACCCGGGCCCCGGGCACCCCCCGGGCACCCGGGCACCCGGGCATGCAGCGAAAATCGGCGACAAACCTAACCTAACCATATGAATCCGCTAGGACCCCTACAGAGGCAAGCTCTGATCGGGGAATAACGCGCCGCCTGCCCACGATTGAAGCACCAAAACGGTCCCAGAAAACGAGCCACCTGACTAAAGCACATGAGAGTACTGCTCATATCCACGCACGCAAAAAAATCACAACAAAAAACACATGTGCAATTTGAAACGTGCAGCTGACAAATTACGGAATACCACCAGAAAGACACATTGACACACTCCTCAAGCGGCGATGGGATATACAGGTATTGTAGCTGACGAAAACTGCACCTGCCTTGACGCACAGCAGAAATTAATATAGAACTCCCCATGCGGCAGTGGGACCAACCATATTTGAAGCGGATGATGACAGGCCGCAGCCCCAGCGATGTAGTTTGTGAGGGCCGCTGCACCCACCACAAGATGTTGAGACCCGAATCGCGCCTGACCGCCGCAGAGCCTGTTGCCATTGCTATATGTCCCCACGACATGATACCGCCAACCTGTTCTGCCACAGCCCAAAGCAATACTGTAAGAACGATGAAAATACGTATTCAATGGGCACAGTAAAGTACGCTTCATTCACTTCACCTCGAGGTGGAGGAGGATGAGGAGGAGGATGAGGACCTCCCCACCCTCCCTTCACCCCCGTCCTGCCTATTGTATTGGTGATGAAGACTTGGCCCATCAGTCCAGTCCCGTACCATAATCACGGCCTCGCAGTCTGGACTCCTCGGCCAGGACCCCGTGGATATAGGAGGTTCTTCGCGGACGCCCCGCGCGGGACATTTCCATGGGATCACGCATCCATAAGACCGTTTTTCAGTATGTTCGTTGTTCGTGCCTCCTCCAGGGACACGATCCAGCACAATCTGGGCGGCAAAATCTGGGCGACCATTTCGCGAGGACTGTCCCAAACGCGCACCTCACAGACAGACGGGCAACACGGGGTCCAAAGAAGTCCCGGCCCCTTCCCCTGGGACTGGCTCTTCGTCTCAGATTCGACCCACGGGGGCGAAATTGGCAAACACAGCGTAAAGCCAATAATGAAGCAATCATGATGCCCGAGGTATGAAGAAAAGTCGTTTGCAGGATCAGTGCTCGCCTCGTTTTCTACTAAATCCAATCCTGCCTGTACTCGAAAAGGGGGAGGGGTGGAGAGAGGGGAGGGGCACTTGTGCCCCTCCCCCCCCTCCTCCCTCCGCCCCTAGGGTGGAAGGTCGAGACTCTACGGCGCTGAGGCCTTCATGGTGTTCATCCCCGCTTGTCGTTCCGCAGATCGGTGTCCTCCTCGGATGATGGTCCCCGATTTTGGACGCGGGCCGACCCGAAAGGGGACCAAAGACGTCAAACCGTCAGCGCCATAGAGACTCGTCCCGCCACCCTCGGCGCGGAGGAAGGGGGAGGGGAGGGGCAACAGCGCTCCCGGGTTTGGTTGGCCCTGGTTCAGCGATGCGTGCTTGTGGATGCCTCCCCCGCCCCATTCCACGAACCAGACCTGCCGCCACGCGAAAAAGTACACAAGCTGCGGCAGACCTGTTTTTTTTGTGATTCGGCAAATGTTTGGGCTTCGAGCACCTTATCCACAAGTGGATCCCCTTCCCCTGGGTTTCTGGCCGTGTGCCCGATACAAAAGGAGAAGGCCTTCTCAGACGGCGCCGGGGCTTGTCAGAAGTCTCGCGCCTGCTGAGAAGTGTTCTGTGTCTGTTGGGAACGCGTAGAAAACTTGTTCAGACGGCCTGGGGACTTCCGAACCTTCTGAGAAAGCCCGCCCCTTCTCCCTTCCTCCCCGTGGTCGCCGCACATTCGGGGGGCCGCCGACCAACAGACATGGCGTTGGTGGGCCAACGGCGCCGGACACGGCCCGCCCCGATGTGGGAAGGCAGCGGCGGCGCACACTTTTCTCCGTCGGCGGCGAGGCAGAGGCGGGCCGCTCCAGCGTGTGGCACTTCGGGGCAACCGAAAGGCGGATTGTCTTGCGGGCAAAAAAAACGCAAGCGGGGGCGGCCGCGCGAGGGGAAGGGGGGGGGGGGAACGCTCAGACGTGGAAGAGTTCCGCGAAGAGCAGGCCGGAGCGGCCAGCCGGGGCAGCGGGGAACAGCCGCCGACCAACAGAAATGACGTTGGTTGGCCAACGGCGCCGAACGCGGCCCCCGATGTGGGAGGCAACGGCGGGGCACACGTCCGCTGACCGCGCCCAGGGGCGGGGAAGGGAAGGGAGAGGCCGCCCCGCTGCAGGGTCAAGACGGCCTCCCAGGGGCGTTCAGTACAAGAAGGCTTTGGCACGCCAGAGGGGAGCCTAAGATGCCGCCAGAATCGGGGGCGACCACGAAGGGTTAGTCAAAGAGGGGGGTTCTAGAAGAAGAAGAAGAAAAAGAAGAAGAAGAAGAAACAGCATACACAGAAACACCTGGCGTTCCGCACGGATTCCTTGGATCTGCGCTGGACCCCCTCCCTGGCGCGCGGAGCGCGACAGGGGCGGCGCCGGGGGCGCCAGCGGGGGGGGGGGCAGCGCTGATCCAAGAAATCCGTGCAGAGCGAACAGTCTATGTTTATACCGATTTTTTCTCCTTCGAGGTTCGCAAACCAGGGTCCGAGACACGTGCGTGGACGAAGCGGTGACCAAGGGACGCACTGCAAGAAGAGGAGGGGCCAGGACATCTGGGAAACCTCAGGGCCCCGGCCATGGCATCCCCCCTCCTCCTCCTCCTCCTCCGCCTCCTCCTCCTCCTCCTCCTCCTGCTCCTCCTCCTCTTCTCCTCTTCTCCTCTTCTCCTCCTCCTCCTCCTCCCCCTCCTCCTCCTTTCATCCTCCTCCTCCTCCTCCTTTCTTCCTCCTCCTCCTCCTCCTCGTCCTTTCTTCCTCTCGTCCTTTCTTCCTCCTTCCCTACTCTCCTCTTCCTCTCCTCCTCCCCTCCTCCTCCTCCTTTCCTCCTCCTCCTCCTCTCCTCCTCCTCCTCCTGGTTTCCTCCTCCTCCTCCTCTCTCCCCCTCCCCCTCCTCCTCCTCTCGCCTTTCCTCCTCCTCCTCCTCCTCCTCCTCCTCCTCCTCCTCCCTGCCAGGAAGCTGGAAGCCACGCGCGGCCAGCTCCACGCGCGGAGCACGCGGAGGCCCCGCGCGGGAGGCCCGCGCGGAGGCCCGGCCCGCGCCTCCGCGGCAGGGCCGTGGCGCGGGCAGGACGCGCGGCCACGCGCGGCGTGTCCACTGAGCCCTCCTCCTCGCCCTCCTCCTCCTCCTCCTCCTCCTCCTCCTCCTCCGTCCTCCTCCTCCTCTCCTCGTCTCCTCCTCCTCCTCCTCCTCCTCCTCCTCCTCCTCCTCCTCCTCCTCCTCCTCCTCCTCGTCGTTCTTCTCCTCCTCCTCCTCCTTCTCCTCCTCCTCCTCCGCCCCCTCCTCCTCCTCCTCCTCCTTCTCCTCATCCGCCCAGGGCGCCACCGCCTCCTCGGAATGTCCTGGTTCCCTGTGGCCAGCCGTGAGATCCCGGCATTCCTAACAGTCCTACCACGAAATGTTCTTTGACCCAAAAATGTTCTAAGAACAAGGACAATGTTCTCAGAACGCGAGCCCGATGTGTTAAACCAAGACAATATCAGCGAGAAGTGTTATCAGAACATCTCGTGGAAACCACAAAAGGTTCTTAGAACATGGTCTGGTAGGGTTATAGGCGAGACAGGACGCTTCGCCACTGCTTGAGTCCAGCAATCGCCCAGGCTGGTCACGCCGTGCGTCTCCAGCCTCCTGGTAGTCCTCTAGGGGGCCACATTCGGGGAACAAGAAGTGGCATAAACTTAAAAACTCGGAGGTCCGCGCGGATTTCTCGGATCGGCGCTGGGGCCCCCCGGCAGCGCCTGCGGCGCCGCCCCTGGCGCGCTGCGCGCGCCAGGGAGGGGGGTACAGCGGCGATCCGAGAAATCCACGCGGACCTCCGAGTTTTTTATGTTTATGCCACTTATTGTTCCCCTATGGTAGTCCTCTGGGGGGACACATGCAAACCCCACCCCTACCCCCCACGATTTCTGAGAGGGAGGGTGGGGCTCACTTCGCTCGGAAATCGTGGGGGGTAGGGGTAGGGTTCCCATGTGGCCCCCTATCCTCACCCCCCCCCTTTGGCCGCCCCTACAAACACAGCAAGAACGTGGCCGCGGAGCACCCCACCAAGCGATGAGGAGACGCACTCAGCAGGCACCCGGAGCTGGCCCAGAAGGCCGACGAGAGAGCCCAAGAGAGGCCCCATGGGGCCCTCCCAGAGAGGAGCCTCAGGCAACGGAGCATGTTCAGAGACAGCTATGCTGTGAACCAGTTCGGCCTCCCATGCTCGTCGGCCTGAGACGGCTGTCAGGGAGCCCGTGAAGCGTCCAGGAAGACACCAAGACGCCCTGGGCTTCTGCCACCACTTGCATCGTTCGTCGGACTTTCGCATCAAAATGGCCTCCAAAAAACCGTCTGTGAGAACCGGCATGGCCATTATCTCCGAGCATCTCCAGTAAATGACCTGCAGAAAATCCTAAGCGGCCCCCCGAATGGGCCAGTAGACTCTCAAGATACATCAAGTGGCCCAGTACACCCCCCTTTCCCCCCGGCCCCCCCGACGTGACCCAAGAGACACCAGAACGCTGATCGGGGCCATTGAGATGGCCGAAGATGCGCCCCAAGAAACCTGAAGAGAAGAGTGCCAGGAGGTCAACAAGTGACGAATGCCTCCCCCCCGCTGACCCCCCACCTCTCGCCAGCTGGAAGGCCTGCTGACGCTTTTGTAACCTGTTTACCGCCTGGCGATTGGAACGCTCACCAGCTACAGTATGGACGCGGGGGCTGCAACGTCACCTTCGATCGGATCAGCAATCCCCAACCAACTCCAACGACCATGGCCCGCTGTCCGTCGCTGGGGAGCCTTCATGTCCGAATCTGGCGTGGCCATCGCCGCTGCCGGCATCATCGTTGGGCTAATGCCCTGCGGCGTCTGCATCGCGATGCCGGCCGGCGCTTCCATGCCCTGGGGCAGGGGAAGCACGGGGTTAAGTCGGGCAAGCCCTCTGACAGGCGGATTTGGGAAGAACAGTTACACCAAAGAAAAGCCCAACCAGTGGATGGTCTTCGCTGTGGAGATCGGCGGGAACCCGGGAGCCCGGGAACCCGGAACCCACCGAAATCGGCCCTGAACCAATAACCGGGAAACCGGGAACCTGGAACCGGGAACTGGGGAACCCAGTCTGCTACCAAAATCGACGGGAAACTTTCGCCAATTCTTTCAACTTCCGCTAGAACCCCTTCAGTGCAAGCACTGATTGGGGAATTAAACAAGAGTCAAGCAATATTCGAGATCAGTAGAAACTTCGTCCCCATATTATTTTCGACGATTTTTTAATACACCTCCTGTGGAAGGACACGCCCGTCTTAAGGGAGGCACGAGGGCGAAGAAAGCGGATGGCAAGCGGCACGGACCGTGCAGGCGGCGACGGCGCCAGCGAAATACAACGAACTCCAGCGAAGAAGAAAAGCACAGCAGGATCATCAACTCCTGTCGCTCCGCGCGGGCTTCTGGGATCTGCGCTGGCCCCCCCCCCCCCGAGCGCGGAGGCTGCACGCTGTGATGCCCCGTGCGCGCGACGTCTGCAGAGATATCGCCAGCCGCGCCGGCTCGAGCGCGAAGTGCTCGAGGCATGGAGGGACCGAGCCGCGGACCGACGAGCGGAAGAAGAGCCAGGTCGGGCCTGTCCCCCTACCGGGGGATCTCGGGCGAAGAATAAAAAAAACGCAGACGAATACCCCGCACCATGCTCAAAAATAGTTGTTGGTTTTTATCGTCCCCAGACAATGTTTGGACTATTATGGAATATCCCCCCTGTCGAGGGACACGCCCGACTGAATCGAAGCATGGAGAGACCCGCCGCGAACCGACGAGCGGAAGAAGAGCGATGAGTCCCGCGGCCGCCTCCTGGGAGCCCTCGAGGCACCGATTGGGGGGCCTCTCATTGATCACCCGAGAGATGAAGGAGAGATGGCCTCCCGCACAAAAGGCATCGCCAAGCCCCTGCAAACTGGGGGTTCGTACGCGGGCTGGTAACTCAGGCTGGCGGCGCGCACAAGGGGGTGGAGGGCGGGGGGAAGGCTCCTTAGAAAGATGCTGCCTCTTAGCAGGCGCCGGCCTTCCATCTACAGGTAAGGCCCGCGCCTTCTAAGAAGCAAAGGTGCTTCTAAGAAGCCCTCGCCCCTCCCGCCACCCCCCTCTGCGCGCAACTGGAAAAAATGGCCTCCCGCACAAAGGCATCGCCAAGCCCCTGCAAACGGGGCGTTCGTACACGGGCCGGTAACTAAGGGTGCGCTTCAAATGGCATATTCAGACAATGCATTTGCCGCGTACAAGTGCAAGCTAGACCCCTCCGCCCGGAGTTGTGATGATGTGCCAACGTTTGTTCGTCGTCCCGATGTATCACGCACCAGTGCGGGGCAAATGTCCTGTCGCCAGGCTCTCGCTTGAAGAGGCCCCTGAGCTACCGCCCCGTTCGCTAACGCCCCGTTTGCAGGGTCTTGGCATCGTGACCTGACGCGATGGCGCACGTGTCATTGCACCTGCCTTGCAGACGTGCTGCAGGGGACTTCTGCGTGGACTTCTGCCCGAAACGGCGAGCTAAAAACTAATTAATCGCGCGTGGATTTGCTTTGGTCTTCATTCCTGCCCAAGAAAAGTCCGCCCGAAGTTCACCTCATAATGTGGAAGGAGAATCTCCAGGACTCATTCGATCGATTTCCGAACGAAATCCGCTCTGCAACGTTGGCGCCTTGCAGGATCCTGCAGGATCCTGCACCCAAACCTGGCTCAATGCCAAGGATCCCGCAAGATCCTGCGGGATCCTGCACCCGCACCCGGTTCAGTGCGACTCTGGCCCTGCAGGATCCTGCCAGATCCGGCGCTCTGGCTGACCCCCGCTCGCATTGACCCCCGTCTCGAGGCTCCCGAATCGGCTACGCGCAAGAGTGACCCTGGGTAAGGGTGACCTTTGGTGCGCGGCTCTTTGGGCGCCGTTGGGTGACCAAACACAGGCGCGCAAGACGCTGCTATCGCCTCGCGTTCGGCGATTCGGCGATCGGGGGACCCCGTTGGGCCCGCATCAGCCGTCTGGTCGTATGGAGGAGGAGGAGGAGGAGGAGGAGGAGGAGGAGGAGGAGGAGGAGGAGGAGGAGAAGGAGGAGGAGGAGGAGGAGGAGGAGGAGGAGGAGGAGGAGGAGAAGGCCACTCTTGCGTCTCGAGGCTCCCGAATCGTGACCTCACGCGCTGGCCCCCGCGGGCCGCCGGCGCAGCACGCCGGCGAGGGAAGGGGCGGCGCTCGCGAGCGGGCCTCCGCGGGCGGCTTGCGCGCGCGAAGGCCCCGCGCGGCGGCCCCCCGTGGCCGCCCTTTGATTGGGGTTGCCAGGCTCGTTTTTTTTTTTTTTTTTTTTTTTTTTTTTTTTTTTTTTTTTTTTTTTTTTTTCATGGTGGGTCTGTTTTCATGGTGGGTCTGTTTTCCACCACCACCACCACCACCACCATCATCATCACCACCACAAGTTTGATGGAGAAATAGGGGGGGCACCTGAACTCGGTCAGGCGGACTGCCGAAACCAAATCGCCCATTCGCCCATCACCCAACCGGACTGCCGCCCAAATCGCCTGTGGAAAACTGCTGTGTCGCAATCGGGGGCGCATCGGCGATGCATCGGCGATTCCAACTCGAAGTGTGGCTGCCAACCACGTCCTCCCCACCTGCCCTCACTCGGGAAACGAACAGACCAGAAAAACTCGGCGGGCCGCGCAGGTTTCTTGCATCCGCGCCAGACCCCCCCCCCCTGGTGCGCGGAGCGCACTAGGGGCGGCGCCTGAGGTATAGCCAGGGGGCTCCAGCGCCGATCCGAGGAATCCGTGCGGACCGCCGATGTTTGATGATTTGATGTCGGGCATGTCCTCCAAAAGGCGGATTTTGGAGGAAATTTAGAAAATCAAAAAATGACCGACAATATTTCAAACATACAAATAACAATCGTCCCTATATAATGTTTAGACTATGTTCGAATAATCCTCCCGTAGAGGGACACGCCCGACTTAATGATAATTCTGTCGTTGTTCGTTCCCCGACTGCCGAGTGCGTCTGCCGTCGTGCCTCGAAGGCGAAGCCTCTCTTGAACGCCTCAAGTGTGGCTGCCGACCACTTCCTCTCCCCCCTCCCCTCACAGCCCTGGCGAGACGATCGGCGCACGCGGCTCCTTCTCCTCCCAGACCTCGGTGGTCTGAGGGCCCTGCCCGCCCACGAGAACATGCACAAGAGCAAGCACGACTCGCGGCGGCGAAGCCCCCCCTGGGAGCCCGAGGGCCCCAAACCGGTAACAGCGGAGCCATGAGGAGCTGCGACTCTCGAGTGAGGTTGCCGTCGTGCCGTCCTGGGCCACCAGGTCCCACCGAAACGAGCTTGCGGCAACGTGGCAGAACTCCGACACGGCGGGTCGCAGGTGGGGTGATGCGGTGTGGCTCTTGGTCGGCACGTCGCGAACATGGAAGCTTCAGTCGGAGGTGCGGGGGTCTGACCTCCAGCCTCCGACGACTCGATGTTTTCGAGCCTCCCTCGGGGCACCGGCCCTCTCGAACCAATTTCTTTCACGGGGCAAGCCTTCTTCCCGAGCTGTTGTCTGACGGCCCTGGGGCCACGAAGACGGCGCCCAAGGAGCAGAAGCGCGGGGAGTCACGAGATTCGATACGTTCGAGGCCCAAGAGGTCATGGGCGCAAATGAGATACACCCCAGGAGTCCCCGGAGCTGTCCTGCATGGCGTCCTGACCAGGACTTCGCAGGGACTCCAGCCGTGGCGACCTTAGATTTGTAAACGTCGGTCCTCGACTCTCGTCGCCGTCTGTGCGCACAGGGGCCTTGGGCGACAGCATCACGATCTGCGGCGCTGGCGCCATGGGCGGCGGTGGCGGCGCAGCCCGCTGCGCCTTACGACGGCTGACGACGACAGACGACAACGACAAAGACAACATCGACGTCGACGACGAAGACGACGACACCGACGACCGACAACCGACGGCCGACGACCACCGACCGACGACCCACGACCCACGACGACATGCACCGTCGACGACCGACCGACAACGAACGTCGTCAAGCCTGGCGGCGGCGCCACCGCCGCCGCCACTGTCGACGACGACGACGACGACGACGACGACGACGACGACGACGACGACGACGACGACGACGACGACGACGACGGCTGCGACGACGACTCGCTCCGGCCGCCGAGGCTCGCCGCGGCGTTGCCGAAGGCCGTGGGCGGCGGCCGAGGCCCCGGTGGCGCCCCCCCCGAAGGGCCGCCCGCAGAGGCCGGCGCCATCTGCAGGGGCGCGGCGGCGGCCGCCGGCGCGGCGATCTGCGGCGCTGCCATGGGCGGCGGGGGCACGCCTGGCGCGCGGGCCCCCCGCGCGCCCCTGTGGACGCAGCGCTCCGCGCAGCCTCGGCGTGCCCCCCTGCGCGTGGCGCGGGGGCGAGGTGCTCCACGCGAGCCACGGGTGTCGCGCGTCTTGTGCGCACCGTTGTGCCAGGGCTCTGCTGCGGAACCTCCGAGCGCCGTCGAGGCGCAAGAGGTTGCCGAGAGAGCCCCCGCTCGCCCCTGGACTCAGCTCCGTCAGCCACGTTGGCATGGCACTGAACTGCGGGGAAACGGTTGGGGGACTGGCTGCGGGGGGGAGGCATCGACCGGGAAGCGGCGATACACCGCCGATAGATCGGCGATGTGCGCCCGAGAGCGAATCCGCACAGTCCTGGACGGGGCGGGCTACCAGACAATAGCGGCGATGAATGTGCCATTAGGAGTCGATGCGCCCCTTCCACCCTATCAGGCCTCCCCCCCCCCTGACGTTGCCCCTGAAAAGCGCCAATGACGTGATACGGAGCCCCGCCGTGGGCCGGGCCGGCCGGCCGAACGGAGGGCCGAGGATTCAAGCTCCCTGGGTTAGTCTGGGAAGTCTGCTGGTCCCCAGGAGTTCTGTAAAAGCCCCTGGGATACCCTGGGGAATCTCCAAGGACCTTGTGCGGCGATTGGGTCAGGCATGTCCTCCTACAGACGGATTTGGAGGACAAGAGAGAAATAGCCAAAAACCATAAAAATGATCATAAAAGGTAGAAAAATCGTCCCCGCATTATTATTTGACTATTTTTGAAAATCCTTCCCGTAGAGGGACATGTCCGACATAGTGCCAGGAGAGCAGCAGCCTGCACACACACACACACACACACACACACACACACACACACACACACACACACACACACACACACACACACACACACACACACACACACACACACACACACACACACACACACACACGCAGACAAGCCGTCGAAAAATCGCGCGGCTCTCTGGCACGGGCGCCGGACCCCCAGGCGACGCCTCCGGCGCCGATCCCCGCCGCGCTGCCTGCGGTGGGGAAGGGACTTCAGCGCCGATCCCCAGAGATCCCCGCGGACCTCCGGAAGCCTGTGCCTCTGCCGGCCCTTGCCGTTCGAGCCGTGGGAACTCTGGCAGGCTCGAGCCGGCCCGAATCGCAAGCTCGGGTCGGATCGGGAGCGGATCGTGTCGCCAGCGGAATCGCCCCCAAGCGAATCGAAATCGGATCGCCGTGCCCGGCTCTGGCG